GGGGAAAAGGGGGGGGGGGGGGAAGAGCCGTACCGGAAAAGGGTGAGAATGTCGAAAGGGGCCGAAATATAAAGCCTTCCTCACACCAAACCCTCGTAGATTCCGCGGTGACTCTAAGGCTCGGAATCGGAATCGAGAGAAGGGCCCATGCGAAATTCTCGGGAGGACGATCGCTCCGGAACTTCCTGACCGGGACGGGACGCTTGTGAACGGCTCTTAAGGGTGGGCGAGAACCGCGCGAATAGTTTCGCAAATTGCGCGGCTCCCCTGCAATTCCAAAGGCGACGACGCTTTCGTACGGTTCGACGTGGTTCGTCGTCCTCGTCGTAAGTTTCGATTCTCACCGAACCGCCGCTGCTTGACATCGTAGAGGACTGAGTGCGCCTCGTGCAATAGAAATAACAAATAGGGTTGAAGGGTGGCGACGAAGCCATTTGGGGGTGGTTGGTCGAAGGGTAAATGTTCTTATGCACGGTGGGTTAAAATAATTTGTCTTTCGCTCGCGCAGACTCGTGCGAACTCGGCTGTACAGTCGGGGACAGTCGAGAGTGCGCTGGGTTAATAAATAGAAGAATAGGTGTTAAGTGTTCCAGCCCCTTTAAACTCCTAGCCCTCCAGGCTCCTGGGGCTAATGCCAGGTATAGGATACGGGAGAACGGAATAACTCGAGATTCGAAGTAGGAATATATTTTTATAAATCCTATGAGTCCAGCAGAAAAATAAACATCCCTCTGATGATTATTATATCGAGGGGGTTGGTAGTCCTGAAAACAAAAATTTACCCTTAGACGGTCAATAATAATACGAAGTATCTTGCTTGGTTACAGGATCTCGACGTGGTTTATCGAGCACCAGAGAAAAACTGGTAAGTCATCATCCCTTATTTTTATTCTACTCGAGAGAAGACTCTCTCTCTCTCTCTCTCTCTCTCTCTCTCTCTCTCTCTCTCTCTTTGGAATTCCATTAGATTTTCATCCCCCTGTTGGTTTACCGTTCCGGCAGTAATACGCGGAAAAATTATAATTTTAATCCAGGGTGCCTGACGTCATCGTTTTTTTTTACATTTCCTTTTTTTTTGTCTATGGGAATAACAAATGGTGGGCGGCGTCGAGGGCTGCTGCTGCTGCTGCATCCCTCGCTGTATCCACTATCCGTACCTCTCTCGTTCGCCACCCTCCCTTCTCGGCTGACGGTTTTGTATATTTATCACCCTCTGGAAAATATCATTCTTCACCGGCCCCGTGTGAACGACGAGGCGCGGATAGATAGCTACGGGCATCCTGACTATTCGTCAAACTAACCGGAAAGTTTGTCATGGCCTCCTTTTTTTTTTTTTTTTTTTTTTTTTTCCTGACTATTCGTCAAACTAACCGGAAAGTTTGTCATGGCCTTTTTTTTTTTTTTTTTTTTTTTTTTCGGGATCGCTTGTTTTATGAAAATATCCTCGAAAAGATCCCGCCACCCTCGGACGCTTTGAACTTTGGAAATATTGAGACCGATCGCCTTCACCCTACGTATGCGCAGTTACCCGCGCGTGTATATGCAACGTTACCGGAAGCCGTCGGGAAAAGTTGGCCAAGTTTTTCTCCTACCCCCTCCCCCCTCCCGCAATCTTCTTTCATCCCCTACCGGCATATAGCAATTCCCCTGGCCGGTAAAGAGTTTTTCTTTGAGATACACGAGATGGATAGCTTCCCTCATTGTCATCGGCGTCCTGTAACCTGCTGTATAATAATGCAGGGGTATACGTCCTAGTGATAAATAAGGGATGAAAACTGCAAAAGATACGACACACGTGAGAGACACCTACAAGCGTGATTCCCTGGAGTAAAATAACGAGTACTAAAGTTAGCATTAAAAAAAAAGTTACATTTAAAAAAAAAACGATAAAATATTCAAACGCAGTGAACAGTCGGAGAAGAGCGTGAGGTCGTCAATAACTTGCTACGTACCTACGCAAGTTACTCAACGCGATCGGGAATGAAGAATGTCTTTAAAAGATCCCTGAAAGCAGAAATAAATCACGTCACATCGTTTTCCTGGAGAATACGCGTGTATATATATATACGTATACACGTACATAAAGGCCTTCAAAAGTAATAGTCGACGTCACTCAAGTGACGTCGAACGAGAGAAGGGGAACGGAACGGAATCTCATCAGACGTAGCCGCGACGTTTGCCAACGTGCAGAAGGAGTCGCAAGGGTTGGAAAATGATATTTCTACTCGTCTAATGTATACGGAAGAAAACGTCCGTGCGATAAGAGTCCGTGAGTTCGTTGTCTCCTGGGTGGAAAAGTTTAGCTCCGTCATTATGGACGCTGATCCCAAGGGTCCTCGATCGCTAAAGACGTCAGGCGTCAGCACGGGGACGTAGGTTGACAGTTTGTCTACGGTAATAGGCATGGTGTGTGCACGGAGTATAGGCTGTGTACCGTATAGCCCGACAGTACGTGTAGGTTAGGGACGCGGCTGGTAATGAGTCGCAAATCGATACTCGTGGCCGGTTCTCAACCTGGTCGATTTAAGCGGCGATTAGTCGACGTAATGGGACGCGTAACGAGAGAGCTGCTCGTCACGGGGACGTATAGCGTCGACGTCGTCCTCGTCGTGACGACACCCATCGTATCCTAATCTGATTGCGTAAATACTCGTGAGAGTTAACGTCGAGCAAGGTGTATATATAGGTATATGTATTTTTGGATCTCTCTCTCTCTCTCTCTCTCTCTCTCTCTCTCGCGTATGGCTTGTCTCTCCTATATAAACGCCTCCGGCCGAGTGACGGAAACGCTTCTCATTAAGGACCGATTAGGCTTAAATGATCTAACGAGAAATCTTGTGGTCTCTCGCTGCGAGAGAGAGAGAGAGAGAGAGAGAGAGAGAGAGAGAGAGAGAGAGAGAATTTTGTATATAATCGAATGAGAACCCCTGCCGCGTTGTTAAGGATTAGCATTAATTTCAAAGCATCTACCCACTTTATATCTGTGTAGCGAAATTATGGATGCCTGTGCATTTACATGCATCCCTTACAAGAGATGGAATTTCGCGTTGTTATTTAAGGGTGGAATTATGTTTCCGTATTAAATTCGACGATTCTCGATCGATTCGTTGTAAGATAGCGCCAGCGATAAATATCGTAGGCAATGAATACCAGACGGTCGTTAGTGGCGATCGCGTACGGTGTGTACGGTAGCTTAAGAGCCGGTACCGGCGAACGGGTATCGCGTGTACTATCCGAAGTATCGATACCATCGTACCGATCCAATTTCAATCCTTTCACATTTAAATCGAAGCCCACGGTTCTGTCGATGGGTCTCGTGGAAGGATCCATAGGGTTTGCTCTTAGGGGTAGGAAGTGACGCAGGGGTAAACCGGCTACACGGAGCAGACCTCCCGCGTGCTGTGCCAGGAACCCGTCGACACCCATAACTCTGTGCCTCTGATGGCCCTGGCACTTTACCTTCCTTCGACTACCCCTAACTCACTGCACACCCTGTACATCGTCGGACTTGCCTCGAGCCAAGGGTTGAGGGTTAACCCGGTCTCGTTTTTGGGACTCGGCCAGACCAGCCTGCACGTAGGGATGGTTAGCCACGTGTAAAGAATGGAGAAACCTAAGGGTTTGCCCATTGGTTTTCATCCCCCTTTATCCTTGATATATTATATCACGGCAATGGCAATATCCCATTATTATTGATAACCCCCTCGTGACGTTATCGAGGTCCAGAAAAAAAAAAAAAGGAACTTGGACGCTTTCTTTTTTAATGTCCTTATTTTTTCGCGTTCGACCGTGATCTCCAGCTAAGCGCCGGTACTTATCCACGTACCGATAACTGGCCTCGTTTGTTCACGATGCGCTTAACGCATCGATGCGTGCGCTCAATGCATTTCATGCAAATGCAGGCGCAGCTACGCGATTTGCGTACCGATAGATAATACATGTATGGTTATGTTTATACATATATGCCCGTGCCTATGATTACTATATAGATGCGTGTATATGAATATATAAAGAGCTCCTATTCCGCTCGTATGGTAGTTTATAACACGTGATTCGTGCGAAAAGCGATGAGCGGCTACGATAAGGGATGAATAAATTCTGGGCGAAGGGGGTTGCTGGATGCATATTGGATATGCAGGCGCAAGGGTGCATAGATGCACGATGCACTTTTATAAAGAGATACTTCAATTTGCCTTGACGCACAGATTACAATATCTGTAAGTACCGGAAGTCTGCGATTGCGTCATCGTTACGTCAGCAGGAAATGCCGCCGACAGGGTAGCCTGAGCGTCCTGGCGGTTTTCAAAGGCCACGCTCAATCGGTCGTCGTTTAAATACGCGAAGTGAAAAGTATCCTCGACGAATCCAATATCGAAAGCCTATTATGGCCCGTAATGCGACTCTGCCGGCATACAAGCCGTTTAAATGCAGCTTCGTGCCGCCGGCGTTAACGCAACTCTTCGCCTGGATGCAAACACACCAGAACCAATAGGGGATGGTTCGTAAATGGTATTCGCGCTACCGGAGGAAGGCTAGTCCCGTTACGCGTAAATTTCATATACAGAGTGGAAATTAATCCAATTTTCTGGTTGCCTCCTGGTGCATCCCTGCACTTTTATGCACTTGCGTCCCGTGGTCGAACCTTCCGTAAGGAAGTTATCTGTGACTTTTTGGGTGGGGGTGGATTTTTATCTCTTTGAAATAAGGGATGGTTAAGATAATAATTGCGAAAATCCACGGAGGGTGGTGTATTTCAGGCGCAGCTCGAATTCCACGTGATGCAATCACGTCATGGATGCACCTGTGATGTCACGTCGCAACGTCACTGCATCGGCGACGTGCGGTAGGTCAGGGGTCGCAACCCCTATTTCTCGGATGCCCGTGCAAGCTCGGCCTAGAAACCCTCTAGCTTCTCCTCATTTTATCCTATTTGAACCTCCCCTCCTTTCCACCCTTATGACCCAGCCGTTCTTTTGCCTCTGGGTCACCACCCCTATGACGCGCGGTACCAGCTACGGGGGGGGTGGCGGGTGGGTGGTTCGTTGCAACCACTTTATGAGTGGCCCCGTTATCGAAATGCGATAATTCGTTTAGGGGATGGTCAACCCACCCTCTCCTCCTCTCGTTATCCTCATCAACCGTTTGGATAGCGTCGCGTTGCGCCTGACAGCGCTGACATTTTGGCATCATTACGTTGTAAATGAACGGCCGATGTCAATAGCCGCCTACACTACCCTGTTGCTAACTATATACAGTGTGAAGTTGCTTCATTATTTTTCAGGGCCGTACCCTTCTTTTTTTTTTACATATTTTTCCTGCAGTTGAGTCCGCACCTCCTTCGGTATGTGTACCGGTTTATTTATATACGCCATATACAATATATACGAAGCAGACACATTTGTTCTTAATGTGACAAATTCACTCTGATTACCTCACGATGACGTATTACTTGAATACAGAAAAGTCCGTGGGAATCGAAAATCATCCCCTATATTTGTCCCGTGGTATACGCCGAAACAGCTTTTCCCACTTTTCTTTTTCTATCCTTCCCACCACTTTCCTTCGGGAACGCATTTTTTTAAATCAATAACCGGCCCGCCCGGGACTGGGTCAAGTGGCCACTGCGCCAGGGAAACCGAGTGCCACTCTTCTGCACCCTTATTCCATGGATATTACCAGTTTCGGCCTCGGAACACTCGTTGCTTGCTTTCTGCGGCAGTCGAGGCTTCCGATTCAACGTGGTACGGAGCCACCGATGCACTTTTGAATTTGTCACGCGTTGCAGTGGGATTTTCCGGGTTCTTTTTTTTCTATCACAGAATTTTTGTGAGAGCTGAATTTTGGCGGGAAAGTTTTTGGCCTTGA